GGCGATTGAATCGTCCATCAACAATTGAAGGGATGATCAGCGATTGGTTTCAAGCGCTGACCTTAAGTTGCTTTTAACAAACTCACTATCAGAACTAAGATAACATAAAAACAGTCTCTAGAAACTGCACCACACCGCAGTGTTTCCCAGCCATTGATTTATTTTTGGCGACACGCAACGCCACAATATCAACGCTGACTGCCACATACTATATACTATTTCTCATAAAGCTAATAAGCCTGTTTCTTCCATGGTGGCATTTCACTGACTTGCTGCAACGTAACCCTGTCCCCTGGCGATCAGATCGGTGATCTCAAGTAGCCATGATCAGACAATATGAAAACAGAGGAGATCGCCCAACCCTAATCAAAACAAAAATTCAGAACCTCTAACAGACGTAATTTTCCTGACAGACCGACTTTTATTAACGGACACACTGTGACCCACACTGTATGTTTACTGCCAGACAACATACATGCTCTCTTTCAGTGTCACACGCACTCATTCGCTCACCAATACACTTGTGTGCGAGTTAAAATCATTACATGATTCAACTATGAGGGCAAAAAAAACCCAATAAAAGCAAAATAACAGTAATCGAGGTACAACGTACAACTGTGATTTTAGGTCATATTGTCCAGCCATGAATCAATATGTGTATTAGTGTTAAAAATCCAACATTGGTCAAACCTGTAGAACACTTTTAGATATTTTGAGTAATACACTGATGCAAATCGTATTCATAGGGGGCAGCTAACTACACAATGTCCATTAATTAAATTCGAGAGCCTCATTATGCAACACCCATTTATTTAGGATCCTGTTATTGCATCATTTGTTTGACATTTTCACATCTACTAGTACAGAACAAATTGCTCTTTAATCCTGTGACCAACCCCCTCTTGCCCACACCCACACACACATATTCTCACTCACTCCAGCCGTATTGACAGTGTGTTAAGTGAGGGTGTAGGTATTTCAGGGTCAGCATGGCCTCCTTGTTGAGGCGTGAGAGTCCTCTCTCCTTTCCTCCCTGGCCCAGAAGCCTTTCTCTGCATGCAAACACTGCGGACAAAGCCTCTTTCTGCTGCTGGGGATCTCTATGGTGACCGATTGACGGCCCTCGGCGTGGTGGAGGACTGAGTCGCTGGAGGCCGGGATGTTACCATAATATGATGGCATGCTCACTCAGTTCATGCTTTTTATCTTCCAGGAAAAAGCAATATCTGAAGAATTAGATATTCAGGTCTTTGTAAAGACTATCACCATGAGGATTTTGCTTAATCGAGTGTGAAAAAGGTTTAGTGAGTGAGCCCTGGACTGCAATACCAAGTCTAACCAAAGACATTCACGTGAAAAGAACTATTGTTTGAAGCGAAACCGTGAATGTGCTCAGCAGGGCTAGTTTCACGTCATCACTGGCCAGCCCACTCAAATGTATCCCATGGGGAGGCTGGTATCAGAGGCCAGTATCAGACCATCAGTCAGGCTCTGCCAAGTTTCCCATCAGAGAGGAATGTAGCTGGAGATTTGCAGGTTAGCATCCCAGCCAGCCAGCCAGCCAGCCTGGGCTTTTCACTTACTGGAGGTCAGAGTATTAGTGACGGGGCATGACCACCTACGCAGAATGAGACAGAGACCTAAACAACCCATTTATAACAGCAGAACAGGGGCAAAATGTGCTCATGTGTAGGAAATCCATGTAGGTATAGGCATGGACGTAGACTCGAGTCATGAATCCGTGGACTTAAGACGTGACAAAATCACTTAAAATCACTTTCGACTTTAACACAACAGATATAATTTGTATAAATCCGACAGTAGTCAATTATATAGCGCAAGCACGAGTGAAAGGTGTGTTTGGAAGTGCACATTAGCAAACAGACAACAGATGATAGCTTGGATTTTCACATTCGGATTTAAAGACTAATGAAAAATGGATGGCAACATGCAGAACGTACGGCTCAAAAATCACAGATGGAGAAGCAACAACTTTGTTCGACATTTGAAGCCACAAGTTTGAGACTAGCGTTAGCTAGCTCTCAGCCTAACGTCACATAGGAGATAGGGTTAAGTAGTAACACAATCTTTGGTAGTCAAATCTCGGATGCCAACGTTAGCCATCTGTTATTAGAAGCATATCTATCCACCTGTTTTAATGTGCGTTTTCAATTTGCAAATTAAAAAACCTGAATCGAAACGCAGGAATGAAAAAAAAGAAAGATGAAACATTGCAGTCATTGCAGAATAACTTATGACATACATAACGCATTGGATTTAAACATCCACCGAGGCTTCCAATCTGTTGCAACAAGGGACAAAAACATGCAGCAGATAAAAACATCTCTGTGGACCAATAAAGAGACTCTTCAAATGAAAAGAACAAACAATAAATCATATATTTCCATCATGTTTTCCACATCCATTTCAGGTTAGACTGAAGAACTTTTAATCTTTTCACCTTCTTTGCGCCCTCTCAATCAAAGAATTAGAGCCATCTCCATTTGTCCGACTACAACTAGTCTATCCATAACAGCAGTGGGTGGATTTTCTGGAAATTCATTTAAAGCTTGCACTATCTTTGGATGTAAACTTTGCTGTTGATAGGTGGCGGAGCAGTAGAACCTGACATAGCCACTGTTCCTAATTCATAATGACTTTTTGAGGATTCTACTGCAAAGTTTAGGCCTTTGTCTTGACCTTCGACTTCACAGCCAAGACTTGCAAAACAGTGACTTTGTACCACTTCTATGTGTTGGTTTACCAAAACGCTAACTAGTGCTGAAACAATCACTAGATTAATCAACTAACTGATTGACTGGAATAATTACCAGGCAGCGGAGCAAAAGCTCAGTGTTATATTGTATTATTTTCTACAGTTTCTTATTTATCATCATATTCACTTATCTTTAAGATTCTATAGAAAATGTTCTATTTAATAAATATGGTGTGTTTACCTAATTCTGTTCTGTAGAGGTCTACTTATTCTTAAACCGGCACATGGAGCAAGCTGTTTTAAAGGAGGGAACAGGGGGGTGTAAGGTGTGACTGAAAGACAATGGCAAACTGTTTTCATGGCACACCGGTCAGGTAGGAGGGCTCACAAGCAGATCTGCTGACCTGATCCATTTTTTAAAATACAGGCGTGAAAAGTAACATGTAAACATGTTTGTGGACGGGGTATTATGGGTAACCACAGGTGCACATGCTGTTTGCTTTCTGTGGTCGCGTTGCGTTTGTGCATGTCGTTTTAAATGTTTTTCTCGTGTATGAGCTTTATGAGTTTTATGCTTGATATAGATATAATGACAATCAGAAATACTTTATTGATCCCTGAGGGGAAATTCTTTAAATATTCTGTAAAGCACTTTGTAACCTGTTATGAATAAAGGTTTTCTTTCTTACTAAGGGGGGCGAGTCTAAAAATAACCATTGTACTTGTAAGTCCTAAATAAAAACCATTTCCCATTCTCATTGCTCCACACAATGAGGCCTATTTTGCATTGCTGTTACACAACATTTAAATCAGGCCCCAGACTTTGCACCGGCTAAAAACAGTTACACAGCCTACAAAAACTTGCCATGTTTGCAAACTTTTCAAAGAATAACCTTACACACTTGTTTCATAGACAACCAAAGCCAGGTCTTTGAAAGATGCAGGATTATGGTAATCCAAGGGAAGAAATGTACATCAAAGTACTTTTTGATGTGGTGGAAGGTCCCAGAGATCCAGACAGCATAATGTCTATACAATACAAACCATTAGTATTGTTGTTAATCTAGCTCTTTTTGTGAGTGCCGTCAACAAAACTCGTTCAGAAATTGTGACGCAGCCTCATCCAACACTAAAGTCGTGCCACTCTGGGTGTGTGCAATAAAAGCACTATCTTTGTCCCATTCTGTCAATTCATAGGCCTATCTCTCACAGTCAGATAATGACAGCGTGAAAGAAAGATGACAGGCATCATTGTGACAAAACGTCTGGTCCGACAAGCCAAGCCTGACAGGGAATTCAAGACGAGAAGCAGTGATACTGACAAACATTTATGTGACAAAGACTCTGTTCAACAGGAATGATGAGGGGCCTGGCACATTTCACTGTGCTGTGTCACGTCTCTGCCTCAGCTTACAGCCTTTCGCTGGCACTGGAAGTGGCGACTTAATAGGGGATCTACTTCCACATAATCTCAGAGGCAGAGCTGGCCTCAGATCAGATGGGAAGATATAAGCCAGGGGCACTGCTGTTTTGACTGGATGAATAAGTTAGTCTGACTCCTAATGATAATGCAGTAATAGGGAATAAAGTGCAGTCATGCGTTCAGTCACTATGTTACTTATAGATGGAATTATATTAAAAATAAATGATTCCCCTTTTTACTGGAACCCCCTCAAGGACCCCTGGGGGTCCCCGGACCCCACTTTGAGAACCACTGGTTTATATCATGGTAGCTATGTAAATAAAGCAGCAAACTAATGATCAATAAAGCCTTATAATAATATTGTTTTTTTTAATATGATTTTGTAGTAATGTGACAAGCTTTTTTTATCAGGCTAAATCTTGTTGTCAATAAACTGTTTCTCAATTAAGAATCTGCTCCTGGATAAAAAAAAATGATAAGTTGACCTTGAGTAAAGGGTGTTTTGTAACACATAGTGTTCCCAAGGCCAAGAATAAACTTTTATGTCAAGTTTCTCAATTGATTTTCCAGATATGTAACTATAAAATGATACTGTAGCTATATGGTGATACAAAATCACATGATCGAGACAGTCACGGGACAAGAAGTAAACAGCGGACCTTTTGGCAGTTCTGACAGTTCTAACGGCCTAGAAGGGATTTTTCAAAGCCTAAAGAAAGTCAGTTGTTATCATTATGAGGCAAACGTACTTCTAAATTCTGTTTCCTCAACAATGTAACTGAATTAAAAGTCTTGGAAACACTGAGCGGAGTGGGCAGGAACTGCAACAGAGTGGGTTGCTGTGCTTTAGCGCTGCTGTACCTTGGTGCTGGAGTTCACACTCAGCCTCTCCGAACTCTCCGAGGAAGCATCCCCGTTCTCACGCGGAGCCGGGGTGGACTCCCTCGGGGTGCCGTTGCTTCGCGTGTCCCCGCGGTCTGAGTCGCTGTCCCCGCCGGGCACGGGAATCCCCTCCGTGACGAATTCTTTCCGGCACTGCAGGTCGAGCTGCTGAAGAAGCTCGGCCGTATCGGAGTCCACCACGATGAGCTCTAGGGGCCCGGTGGTGACCCGTATCCTCGCGACCACCTGCTGGTGGCTCTCCCCCTCCACGCTCTCCCCGTTCACGTATGCCAGGCGGTCACCGGCGAGAAGTCCGGCTGCGGAGGCGGGAGTGTCGGGCTCCACGAGCCTGATAAACTGCCCGGTCTTGCCCTTCTCTCCGTGCAGGTGGAACCCGTAGCCGCTGGGACCTTTCTCCAGCACACACAGTCTGGGTCGGAGATCTGACATGTTGTTACTCTGCTAACCGACGAAAACCTTTCTCCCCACTCTCCAAACCACTTTAAAGCCTTTAAACAAGGAGTGACACAACAACCATACAAAGAAACTGACACCTGTTGCGCACACAAACTTTGCTCTAGGTCCACTTCCGCTGAAGTCAGTCGCAGTGAACTTTCCACTGCTAACGCTGCGTTTTCACTCCTACCGCCCGGTTCAGAGATCCTCCCCGCAGGCTGATCCTCCCCTACGAACTGCTGTGTTGCAATGTTCTACTTCACGTCCAATCCGACAACGTCCCGTCCTGAGCGGAGGTACTACTGTCAAGCAACCAAAGCAGTCACATTAACATCAGATTTTCAAAATAAATGTACATGGTTGTTTATTTGTCATTATACAGCACAAGGCTGCATAACGAAACGAAATGTGTAGTTCCTTCATGCTACACACACAACATATAATTAAATGTATATTAAAATATGGTAACATTTAAAATAAATATATACAATTATTTATCTACATATATACATGTATACACCAAGAACATTCATTTGCATGCATTTTTGAATTTGCATCTGGGGTGAATGTAAACAGCAACAAACAGATGATAATATGGTTTTAACTTTACAGTAAACAGTCTGACTGTGTTTGCGAAAAGCGAATACTGTTCAGGCTACATCAAAGCTGTAAATGATTTCACAACCACTAGGCTGTGGTTTTGAGGGCACAGGTCATGTCCTCTGAATCGATTATTATGAGAATTATTTGGATATATAAACTACAGTTTACAATTGAGAGTTACACAGAGTGTGTTTTAAAAGCATGATACCAATATTCAATTCAGATTTATTTATTATTATTCATAACAGAAGTTATCTCATTGCACTCTTCATTTAGAGCAGGTCTAGACCATACTCTTTGTAATATTATTTACCCAACAATTCCCACCATGAGAGAGCAAGCACAAAGTGTCAAGGAAAAACTCCAGAACCAATACTCAGGATGGGCGGCCATCTGTCCCAACCGTTTTGGTTGAGAGAGGCAGAGAGAGTGCAGGAGGAACGAGAAAACGCAGTAATAATAATAGTAGTAATAATACACATATAAACAAAAAAAATAATGATAGCAATAATAATTGATCATAATAATAGGGCTAATAATAGCAGAAATATGGGGACAGCAGGTGGCAAGTGTAAAACTTCTATAAACAGCCTAGTTAAGATGGGGTCCAAGAGACTGGTTGATGGTTAAGAGGAAGAAATCATTGAAGTTAGTTGGTGATTATCAAATTTGAAAATGTTCAAAGCGAGAAAATAAAATAAATATCTATGATAAATGAGTCAATACAAACTTTTAAAATATTTTTTCTTAACAGAATTTATTCCTGGCAGAGATGAGAACATAAAAACACACAACAGATTTAAAATGAAAAAACACAATTACAAAAAAAGAAATAGGTGGAATAATTCAAAACACAAAATGGTCAAATTGACATTGAAACATTTTCAAGCATTTTCAAGTCTCTACAAAATTATCTGGTGGTGGGGATGGCTGGTTGGACTTAAGCCCGCAGTATTTCTAAATCGTGGCTATACCCTGTCAAGCAATATTTTTGGTACCCTATGTGATTTAAATGAAATTTTTTCACAATGTGGGTAAACCTTATATTGATGTTCTTGTACAATACTGTACATGCTCTGACTGTAGACTGCATGATTTGCTACATTCATGTATTTGCACAAAAAATACTATGTTGCGATGTCAGTGTCACTGATAACAGGAAAAGCACAGATGTTACATGAATTAGTTCAGTAGTGTATGAGTAAGTATGCAGTCAGGACCTACTGTGTTACTTTAGTTGGGTTCCTGTGTTCCTCAGCCTCATTCTGTTCGAGGAAATTGGCAATGGAATATGAGTGGACTGGGGGGCAGTTGACCTCTGTTGAAGTGAGTTGGTTCTTCTATTTTTGTTCCATGTTGTGTTACTGGATGTGATTTGTTGTTGTACAGGCTACTCTCTTTCAGGCTGATGATTACTTACCTTGTCTTGCCTTTGAATAATGTTCTCAGCCGTGACCTAACATTACGGTAAGATCATTAAGTATTCTTTACTTTTTAAACAACTTTACAACAACCCAAAGTCACAGCACAATTTAGCCAAAGAAAGGTCACATCTTCACATAACTTAATAGCAGCAAATAGTAGGCTTTGTAGTAACATTTTACACATATACACATATTACACAACCCATAAAAAGTGAGATAACCACACCATTAAATCACTGAGGAACAACCTCATCATTGCTGGAGTTTTAAAAGTTGAAAACCTGAAGACAAGCTTGTGCTTTTATTTTGAAGGCTAGACCTGCACCTACAAAGTTTTGTTTCTATTAATCCCTGTATGTTTTATAAATATACAGCTTCACATCATATTAAATTTTCACAAGTTCATGATCGTTTTATGAGTGAGGTATAAAACCAGGCAAAGATTATTCAAGGCCCCAGCATGCACTGCTTGTCAGTTGGTTTGTGGTAATTTGAATGATTGCAATCTTTCTCTCTGTTTCTCTCTCTCTCTCTCTCTCTCTCTCTCTCTCTCTCTCTCACACACACACATGCACACCCTTGCAGCTACAGTTAATCATATGGTGAGTAACTGCATAGACTATTGTCCATATAAAGTGTGCTCAGTTAAAAATATTTTATTTCTTATGCAGCATACAACACATCAAAGACAACTTTTTGCAGTGCCGCCTGACAACAAACAACTGTTCAGTATATATACAAGTTGTAATGGCCACAACCTGAATCATTTTCGATTATAAACGGTGTCAGACCTGAGCTGTCCAAACTGAAACAGGGCATCCATACAGGAACTGACCAATATGAAATATTTGCAGAAGAGCGTTGCATTCTTTTGTCAAGCAGAAGTTCATTAACTTGCTTGTGTTACAGTAAAACCTGATCATGGAGCTGTTTGTTCTGACATTATTAGGTCCTTAAAGCTGCACTAATAAACATTTTTATATTACCAATGGATCAAATGACTACATGTAATGGAAAAAGTTGCCTGTAGTTACAAACCTGCATTAATTACCACCGCACTCCGCAGTTCCCTCAGCTCTATGTAGTGTTTTAGCATCTTTTAAGTAATTGGTTCAGTTGTCTGGCCTAAAACTCTGAGCTTTTTTAGTAGAAACAGTTGTGCTAAAACCACCATATGGTACCTGCTCAACAGCAAATGGCAAACAGACAAAGTTAGCTACTAGCCGTTGAACAAGGTGGAGCATTTAGCAGCAAAAGAGCCCAATATGGTTCTCAGGAGTTGGTGGAGACCAAAACAGAGCTAAAAGGAGAGTGAATGTTGGACTTACATTTATTTGGTGGCCAGAAACTCGACTCAAAATAAACGCTTATGTGTCTCTGTGTATGCTTGATGAGTAAATAGGCAACTGTTTGCTAACACGTTCGGCAAATGTTTTCCAATAATATGTCAATGTTATGTTTACACCATGTTCTGCTGCCCCAAAGTGGCCCAATTTGTTTTTCAATCAATGAATTCAGCTTTTATATGGACTTAAATGCTATAGAAGTTTTCTTTCAAAACAAAATTTAACCCTGAGTGTTGCGTTAAAAGAGAAGAAGAGAAATACTAATTATTTGTTCATATTTGTATGTTCATCATGATACAAATATATACAGTTTTAAATGTGCTCTGGAGGCACTGCGCACAGATTGAGACATGCAATCTAACAAACATGCAAATGAGCTCCAAGGTCCATAAAATATAATAGTATAGAAAATAATGCAACCAACATGTCAAAAAAAGACTGTTCACTCACTCAAATACAATCTGTTGCCTACATAGATGTTTCCTAAATGAAGCGCAAAATTGGAATTCCAACCACAGCCAGTCAAGTTATGTTTGGTCTTATGCAGCAGTCCTCCTTTAGAGACACATTTTAGGTGATCAAAACGTTTCTCATCATTAACGCATTGATGCAGTCCTCCGCATGTTTACATATCGTCTTCTTTGCCAGGTGCTGAGAACACGCAAGCTTTTCTACAGCTGTGTCCCGGAGCTTTTATTGGGTCAGTGAAGAGTTCAACAGCAGCCGACTTGGCAGTCACTTGTCAAGAACAGTTTGTCAGCCAGTCTAAGTCTTAAACAAACAGGGCTTTTGTCCATGGACTTGGCTTTGAATTGTACCCTTGACACAGTGTATGGCCTTTGTCTGGATCTGAAGCTTGATTGCAGGATACATTACATAAGATTTTAACAATGTTGATTTTTTCAAAGCAGATCCAAACAGATCCAAAAGTCTGCCTTGAGACTGTGTTCTTTCTGGTTTATGCCAGTGGTGTATGGGTGTATGTCGTTTTTATATTATCCTCCAGATTGGCCAACAGAGAACACACCTTGCACTTCCATTAGCAATGATTTAGTGGTAAATTAAAAGGTTGGTATAGGTAGAAGAACATAATAATGTAAGGCAAACAACCCAAATTATATTTAAAACAATCATTGTTCAAAGAGGCATGAATTTTATATATATATATATATTATTTATATATAAAATTCCTTCAAGAAGAAGTTAAAGGTTTTTGAGAGATATGCTAATTCACTTTCTTTCAGAGAGTTAGATGAAAAGATTGACATCAATCTGAGGTAAGGAGCTTTAGTAGTTAGTCTAGCATGCTAAGCTCAGCTATGAGATGAGTTTAACAGTTAGAGCATTTAACTGGCCATCTCGGTCATCCAGTTGGTCCACTATATTGATCCAAACTGAAATAGCTCAACAACTATTGGATGTATGACTTTGAAAATATGTGCAGACATTCATGGTCTTCAGAGGATGAAGCCTACTGATTTTGGAGAGTCCCTCATTATTTGCTCTAATGCCACCATGAGGTTGATGTTTCTGTTTTTTTAGTGAAATGTCTTGACAACTATTGGATGGATTGCCATTGCATTTGGTAGAGACATTCATGTTGCCCCGAGGAGGATTTGTAATCATTTTGGATCCTTTTTCATCTAGCACCATCATCAGGTCAACATTTCAACTTGGGTTTATGACCAAAAACCTGCAGAACATGATATTCCCATCAGCCTCAGCAGTTACTACTGTTTTTATAGCAAATCATTGTGAGCATGTAGCATGCTGATGTTAGGATTTTGCTCAATGACCTGAGGTATGCAAGAGTGTTTTTTACTGACGGTACACCGGTAAAGCGGGTAATGCTTTCCTG